GCACCACTGTTCCGTTCTGACCAGATACACGTCGAGTTCTTTCTCTCTTTTACTTTCAAATCGAACCAAGCAAACGCCCTCTCGWCGGTTAGTTHTTCKGTTCAAAACAATCTCTAGTTCTCGTTCTCACTCAAATCATGTCACGAAAAACGCCGTAATTGATTAGGTAGTTGTTCTTGGTAGAAGTTGAAAAAGTCAGTTAACTACGCATTATTAAACTCATTAATATTCATAAGGCAAAACACAATAGAAATCATAGCCCATGAAGAGAGTTGTATATTACATACAGATCGCCCGCTCATATTGTATATATTACTTAAATTCGTTCAAGACATTTTAATGACAAAATAACAAATGGAATAAATAACTTCTACTGAGCAATCCATAATTTTAGCTGTACTATAAAGGATACGACAAAGCTCGCTTTTGTTATGAGTTTTGTTTTGTAATTTGAAACGAAAAAGATTTATCAGTATCTTAATTTCTGGAATTTCTGGAATTTCAGCTCTTTCAGCCCTTTCAGCTGTTTCAGTTTCAGCTTTTTATCGACACCCCATGGCAGAGGCGCTAAAAAAGACAAGCTGTAATCTGATTCTTCTCAATATTTTAATATTCTTGATATACTTTAAATAAGAAATATCATTGATGCTAATTCCCAAGTTTTCTCTGAGGCTGTTGCAATAGTTGACATTCTGGACAATTTCCACTGAAAAAAAAATGAAAGGATAATAAGAACTAAGAGCTACTTACAGTACTAACATGACAATTAACTCAGATTATTGCTTGTTATATTTCACTAAAAATTACCAACATGTTATGACAAAAATGTTCGGGACTAGAAATATGGAAAAGTCCTGAAGGGATACTTAAATGTGAGTTTCTTGTTTACAAGCACAATTATGCTGTTCTTTATAACAAGAAGGCATGCTATAATTTTCTCATTTTGACTCTTCACTGTTCAAAAGGTACTCATATTAATTTTATCACATTTAAAATTTGAGGATTAAGTGGCTGTCTCTGTAAGAACGGTCCACTCACTTTCGCGACGAAAACTCGATTTCCTTTATTTTTTGTGGGTGAAAAGGATTTAGTACTAAAGTAAGAAAAATCGACTTTGTTTTTTCACCGAACGTTTTCTCGCTTCGCTACGACCAGAAATCCGTTTTAGTCGAACTATGAGCTGGAGACCACAATTTACGGACTTGAAATAACAGAATTTGGATGCCAAATTTTACAAAGAAAAAGAAATCATTCAAACTTTTCCTTCTTATGACGATTAAAAGGGTCTTTTGCAAGTCCAAATTCAAAAGATTGAGAGATTTTTAAAAAAATTAGCTTCTCCCAAAGAGAGCCTACTTCATGCTCAAAGTGACTGGATTAAAATATTACTTCCTAAAACTCACCAATTCTCAAAAGTAGGGTCAAAATCAAACCTTTAATGCAGTTTAAAACAAAGTTCTGACGTCCTGGTGTCGGGTTATGAGCTCAAACCGGTGGGTATCCCTCTAGAATGGAAGAAATAGAGCGAGGTTTTTGGATCAAATATAGCTTGTTTACAATTTTGGAGCGTGACAGC